GTTTGCAATAATTTATTATTAAGACTTTACTGCATAATCCACAAGATACTGCACATCTGTAGACATCTGAAGTGCAATGTAATGTGGATACTGTTAAACATGAAACTGAACCATCTAGTCATGAACATTTCAAGCCTCATATTTACTCCCAGAAATGCAGTTTCGCATCTTCAACTCTGGGTCTTTAAGAGGCTGAAAGTATCAAAAAATCTAGACACTTTCTTTTTGAAGTCCAATATGAGTTATTTAAATATTTTGTATCTTCTTTAATAATGCTGTTTTGTGCATTTGCTGAGCTACAAAGTCACATCTACGTGGTCATGCTACACTTATAGTTTCTTATAGAGGTACACGGCACCAGATATGTAGCCGTCCTCTTGCTCTGACACCGCTCTCTCCCAGTCTTCCACCTCAGTGACGTCTACACAAGTCCACAATCCCTCTTCCTCCATCTGCTTCAGCTCACGCTCCAGGGAAACTTTGTAGTCCACATTGTCACAGTTACTTCTGGTTGTCATGCAAACGTAGCCACCTATTGTAAAACAGGGAAGCGTGGTGTTGTTAAAACTCACCTACAGTGAGGAGATCCAGATTTACAATCAAAAATCAGAACTGCAATTGAGACAGCATCAAACAAAAAAACACATATTCTAACCTGGTTTGGTGGACTTGCACAAGTTTCTGACTGCATCAACCGGGACCTGACCAACACTCAGCGCTCCAACAATAACAACCACATCAAAGAAACCTGCAGGAAGTGAAGAGGGGCGAGGTGGAGGAGTGCAGAAGATAAGAGTTTAATTTCAAAATTATACAATGACAGTTTCATAAGAAATGCAGACAACTACAGCTACTACTGATAATAATACTAAACATTAATAATATTTAATAGCCATAATGTCTACAGAGGTTGTTTTTTTTCATAATAAGTTTATAAAGTCGACTACAAATGAACATACAGGATAGACAATACAACCAACATTTTTAACAGTGAATAAAATCCAACTATAACGTGTACATAATAACAACAGCGGAAGGCAGTGACAAAGTAAACAGATAATAAAATAATCATAACAAAGACCAATTATGTTAATTAATCTTAACACAAATACTGAATAAACACCCCGTCTGAGGATCTACCTACTGAATCACGCTGATCAATGACCCCATGTGAAGTAATGAACCCATTAAATTACACATTGGACAGGTAGCAGGCTCCTCTCCCAGCAGGGACTGCTTCAGGTCCTGGTACAACCGCTCTCTGGCCAAGTCCAACATAGCCTCGCTTCCATCAATACCCACAAAATGTTTAAATCCGTGTTTCCTCAACTGTACAACAGAGACAGGATGGGTTGTTAATCAGTCACACTGGTCAAATCAATTGAACATGGAAATTACAAGCTGATAGTGATAGTCTGTATTTTATAGACATAGAAACAAACTCCCTGGAGAGAGATTCTTGAAATAAAGCAAGAAAAAGGTGATTAAAAAAGTAAAAATGAAATATCTGTATAGTCGTTTTTCTTCTCAGAGTGAAAAGATTAAACATGTTATTGTCTATAAAATACAGACTAATCACTATCAGCTTGTAATTTCCATGTTCAATTGATTTGACCAGTGTGACTGATTAACAACCCATCCCTGTCTCTGTTGGTAACAGTTGAGGAAACACGGATTTTTAAAACATTTGTGGGTATTGATGGAAGCGGAGGCTATGTTGGACTTGGCCAGAAGAGAGCGGTGTGTAGCAGGACCTGAAGCAGTCCCTGCTGGGAGAGGAGCCGCTACCTGTCCAATGTGTAATTTAATGGGTTCATTACTTCACATGGGGTCATTGATCAGCGTGATTCAGTAGGTAGATCCTCAGACGGGGGTTGTTTATTCAGTATTTTGTGTTTATTAACATAATTTGTCTTTGTTATGATTATTTTTATTATGTTTACTTTTCACTTACTTTTCCGTGTTGTTATTATGTAAACACGTTATAGTTGGATTTTATTCACTGTCAAAAATGTTGGTTGTTATTGTCATCCCTGTATGTTCATTTGAGTCGACTTTATAAACTTATATGAAAAAAACAACCTCTGTAGACATTTATGGCTATTAAATATTATTAATAGTTTAGTATTATTATCAGTAGTAGCTGTAGTTGTCTGCATTCTCATGAAATCTGTGATTGTTATAATTTTGAAATTAAACTTCTTCATCTCTGCACTCCTCCCACCTCGCCCTCTTCACTTCCTGCAGGTCTTTTGATGGTGGTTGTATTGTGGACGCTGAGTTGTTGGTCAGGTCCCGGTTTGAGCATGTCAGAAACTTTGTGCAAGGGTCCCCAAACCAGGTTTTAAATATGTGTTTTTTGGGGGGGTTTGTTTGATGCTGTCTCAATTGCAGTTCTGATTTTGGATCTCCTCACTGGTTAGGTGAGTTTTAACAACACCACGGTCCCGTTTTACATAGGTGGCTAACATTTGCATGGACAACCAAGAAGTAACTGTGGACAATGTGGACTACAAAGTTCCCTGGAGCGTGAGCTGAAGCAGATGGAGGAAGAGGTATTCGTGGACTTGTGTAGACTCACTGAGGTGGAAGACTTGGGAGAGACGTTGTCAGAGCAAGAGGACGGCTACATAATCTGGTGCAGTGTTACCTCTATAAGAAAATCTATTAAGTGTAGCATGTACCCACGTAGATTGTGACTTTTAGCTCAGCAAATGCACAAAACAGCATTATTAAAGAAGTATAAAATATTAATAACTCATATTGGACATTCAAAAAGGAAAGTGTCTAGATTTTTTGATACTTTCAGCCTCTTAAATGATCCCAGAGTTGGAAGATGCGAAACTGCATTTTGGAGTAAATATGAGGCTTGAATAGATGGTTCAGTTTCATGTTTAAACATATACAATTACATTGCATCTTCAGATTGTTACAGAATGTGCAGTATCTTGTGGATTATTTTGGGGGCAGTAAATCTTAATAATAATTAATGCAACATGAGAAACATTTAATAAATGAGCGGTGAAACTTTATTTTTGCTCACTTCTGTGTGTGTTGTGGCATTAATATCTGCATTAATCTAAACAAACAGGATTATTAATGAATATTCATAAAATCATGCCCTTGAAATAAAGGTTTTTTATTTAAAGCTATTAAATGTATAAAGTCTTATAACTCAACATTGACAATGAAAATAGGACAAAGGTATTCAAATTGTTACAGAATGATACAGTAGGCCATATGTATAGTGGACTACTTCTGTGTATAATTTGATAATAGTAGCAATAGTAACAATACTAACATGAGGACAAGGTGCAGTTGTATTCTATGTAAAGTGTCAATACCATATCTTCAGGTATTGTTCATATGCAATAAGTCATTATTGAGTCAAGAGGCTCACTGTGTGACTCCCCTGGATGAATTGAGATGGGTGTGTGTGTGGTGTGTGGTGTTTGTGTGTGTGTTTGTGTGATTGATTCTTTAGCTATTTCCACACTTATTTCCAGGCTGGTGGCAGTGGGCACAAAGTGCTCTGTCCTGCATTATGTATTCTGTAACTAAATGAGCTGCCCATCTGCCTCATTTATCAAGAGCGGGTGGGAAAGGGTTGTCTTGAATAGCACTGCTCTATTCCCTTATCCTATCTGTGTCACATCCAAGGTCCCCCCACAATTTTGGTCCAGGGAACAAGGACCAGATAATCAACTTCTTTTTTTGTTCAGTAAAAAAAATAAAGAAAAAAAAAAAAAAAACACAACCCCAAATGACAATTAATGAAAGTTTTTATTAACTTAAGTGAAGTGAAGCAAAAATCTTTTACTCTCTCACGGACTTATTTAACCCTCTTCTCACTAAAAGATAGTATCGGAAAAATTGTATGACAGTGTATTATTAAACAGAGTGTATAGACAGCTGTGACTGCCTGAGAAGGTATTTAGTAAAAGTGTTCCAGCAGCCTGTAGGCAGCTTTGTGATTTTCTCACAACACAGAAAAAATATTTAATCATCTGAGCCGAAATCGTCACTTGTTGTTTTTCCCATTCGTTCAGCAGCTTGGAAGTTTGGAGACTATATAAGACAGACCAACCAACCACTGTACCTTTGTAAGACGTGTAACTGAGACAATGAGGTTGTTCTTGGTTTGCTGTTGTTGCTGCTCGGTTCTGTGTGGCTCAGGGGCTCAGGGGAGGGGGAGGCCTGACGGAGGTTGGGTGCAGTTGGAGGAATCATCATTTAGCAGACACAAAGCAAACCACCTGTGACATCGGGAGAGGTTGAGGGCCCTGGAGACATGGGTGGTTGGAGCTCAACGGGGGAGCTGGAGGAACATGGGATGCCAGGTGAAGGACGTGAGAGCCAGAGTGAATGACTGAAGGCTTGAGCTTGATAGTCACCAAGGTGCAAATGGAGCTGCTGCAGGAGAGAGAAATTCTGGTACAGACTGTAACTTTTTCTGGTGATTCAAGAGTTGACTGAAGTGTGTCAGTGCACTGATAAACTTATTGTGAGCTCCACACTAAATCTGTAAAAATTAACGTGGTGTGTAAGCTAAATGGAAATAATTTTAAATACAAACAAGCTCATTGTGTTATTTAGACATTTACATTCAAAACAAAAATTAACTAAATTCTGTTTTTTTTCAGTCCAAGCCCACCACAACTGATCTCTCTGGAAACTATGATGCCCACTGAGGAGCAAAACAAGATGACTAGAAAACAGAAGCAGTATTTCCACTGAAAACATTGATGGTTTACTAATTGTGAATGTTATTTTATTGTATATATCTTCTC